CAGCTGCACTGGACATCGAGGAAAATCAAGTAAGCAACTCAAAGGTAGCAATGGGAAGGAGGGAATGAAAGGGAAAAAGGGAACAGCTTACACTAAGCAAAAGGCAAGAAACGTAAATTATCACCTGATGTGGAAGAAATAGTTGTATTGTCAAAGCTCATAGAATTCACAAACTTTATAGACCATGATAATGACAATTTGCCTTGTGAAGGTTAAAATGTGTTTGTGACTTTAAGTGTCACTATTCTACAATACTGTGAAATATTTAAAACTTACGTAACCACCTAATCTCAATAAAAAATTATTTTTAAAAATTAGCTCAATTATAAAGTACCTGCTTTCCCCCAATGACTTCCATGTTTTACAAGGCAAAGGCATTATTTCTTTTCTTGAATTTGAAGGGAAAATACTTTTTACTGATTTGTTTAGAAGACACAGAGGTTAGGAATGGCAATCAAAAACCCAGAAACAAAGGAAAATAGAAAGTGTTTTTAGTGTATTTTTTGGTCTCCAAAAGCCTCACACACTATAGCATAGAGTAGGAAAAAACAGCAATACCTCTGAACAAATGACTCATATACCCTGAGAAATATGCACACATAGTCTGAAGGGCAACACTTTTCCTAGGAGAGACATTTTATAAAATAACTCTTGATCACAGACATGTTTACAAATGAAAGATGCCTTTTGGAAGGAACATCTGGTTAAACCCATCCTTTAACTATAAAATGATGTTCAAAGAGATCACATGATAACCAGACGTGGTATATCTGGGCCCAAATGATAATGTCAAGCAACAGCAAAAATGACTAAGCACACCAGATACTCGGAACAAAGGAAAACACTCATCTGAAGGAGCACTGCACAGAACATCTGCTTTTCCACCATAAAAACCTGTGTTGCCGGGTGCCAGTGGCTCAAGCCTGTAATCATAGCTACTCAGGAGACAGATCCGAGTATCATGGTTTGAAGCCAGCCCAGATAGGAAAGCCCATGAGACTTTTATCTCCAAACACACACCAAAAAGGAAGTGGCACTGAGGCTGAAGTAGCAGAGCATTAGCCTTGAGCACCAAAGCTCAGGGACAGTGCCAGGCCCTGAGTGCAAGCCCCAGGATGGTATAAACAAAAAAACCTATGGTAGCAAACCAGCTCAGTTTGTCTCCTTCAGGATACCTACATTTATCAATCAGACAAAGCATGCTTTGCTTTCTGCTTGCTTGCTCAAGCTCAGACTTGTGTAAACCTTGAGTGCAAAGTGGGAAACTTTAACAGAAGCTCCTCAGACCCTTACCAGTGACAGGGGACAGAGGAGTTAACATTGCTGATACCACACTATGAGCAAGCAGACATTCATTTCCTTATAAAACCAGAAAAGACAAGGGTTAATGATTGTTTTAATAACATCTTCAATTGATTGAAGCAATTCAGTTTCAAAAACTTGAAGTTACATCAGTCACAAAAACCAGGGAATAGTCAGAAACAATGAAAGAATGATCAGGAGTACTGCATTTTTAAATTTGTTCCTAACAGTCATGGCTTTATTCAAAACACAGTTGCACCAAAGTATTCAAAATTTTAAGGAGAGATAATTTTCTATACATACTACTATGCAAAGAGCATTAAAACAGGACCCAAAATTTCTTTTTTTTTTGTCAGTCGTGGGGCTTGAACTCTGGGCCTGAGCGATGTCCCTCAGCTCTTCAGCTCAAGGCGAGTGCTCTACCACTTGAGCTACAGCGCCACTTCCAGGACCCAAAATTTCTATGAAACATAAACGTACCCTTACTTATTTGCATGAAAATACCACCCATAGAGCTAAGGAAATCTTAAAAGTTATCTGGAGGCTCTAAGTGTAGTCTACAAACCAAAGAACTCTTCTTTTGATTGTACAATATGATTAATAAGAAAGTTAATATACAGATTTCACTTTATAATAAGCATTTTATAATTGGCAGAGTGAGCAATTTCTAGGAACACAGGCATTTCAACTGATAAAATTAGGAGGAAAAAATGTTCATCTTTTGGAGATTTCAATCTTTCCCACCAAATTTATCTCGTGTTTTATTTCAATCAATTGTGCAGCCTTTTTAGTTTTTCACGAACTTCATAATCCTTGTTTTAAAACACTAAATTACATATCTTAAATTGAAAAAGGGAGTGACAGCAATACTATACTCAGTGATTTTTGTCTAAGAGAAGCAGAACATCAAATAATTTCCTCATACTTTTTTTAAAAAAAATTTACAAACATGACAAACAAAGAGAAATAATTTTAAATTGCCGAGGCTGTCTTGAACATTGAGCCTCCATGACAAAAGGGAGATGGACTTGTCTACTCTCAAGTTTTAGTTAGTAGCTACATAAGGAAGGAAACACAACAATCACAAATATTTTTCTATTTTTAATGGGCAAAAAAATTGAAAATACTCAATCTTCATACCAATTTAGTTTAGAATATTCTTCTAACTGCCTACTATACTCCAAGTAAATGGTGTACCTGATTATGCTTTAAAACTATAGGTAGAAAATGAAAGGTTCTGCTCAGAAATGTTGTAAATACTTTACACCGTCAGTTTCCAAATCATTTGGAAAACCAATTTAAAAAAACTGTCTCATCAACAGGCAATCACTCTGAGTTTTGAGAATGCTAATGGTATTTCCTAAAGCCTCCTCTACTTTTCTCTCTTTGTCTTGATACAGTATTACATGTTATCAACTAAGAAAGATTTAACAGTAAGCTGAGTTTGTTGCATAAAACTGTTATTCATAATACTGTATCTCAGAAAACACTCTAATTCTCCCACTTTGTTTAAAACCCAGACAAGTCTGAAAAAGTAGTTGAGGTATTAGACTAAAAAGTTTTCTGGATAGTTGCAAGTTTCTTTTTGGATAGGAGAGGGACTGAAGCTAGAAAGGAAGCTGATCATAAAGAAATGAGAGGCAAATGCATTTCTAGAATAAAACCACCACTGGCATGTCAAGATCTACAGCCTGAAAAATAGACTCACATCCTTGTCTTAGCATAATCAATTTTTCTTTCCAAAACAAAATCTTCTCATTTGTCATAAAACTCACGGACTATGTTACTGAACAGAACGTCCTCCAAATCCATGAATTTACTTTGACTGCTAAATGGACCTTTGTTATCTTGATTCTAATTTCCAATTTAGTCAAGTGACGAGATGGCCCCCAAATACTCATAGCCAGAAAAAAATAAAATAAAAATCACTGCCTTTAAACTAAAAATCTGAATCACCTCTAAAATAATAAACTTTGTCAATGAAGAGGCTTTTCTCATTTCATATTAGAGCTGACCATATTTCAGTTATTTTTAAGTAACTTTAAAACCTTACAAATGAAATGCACCCAACTATACTTGTGTAAAATTGATCATGTTTTAATTATGGGCTAAAAACATCTAAGTAAGACTAAATTAGAAAAATTAAGATTCCAAATACGTTGCTAGAGAATTTCACAATGGAGGATGAGGGAATTAGTGAAAAATTTTCTCTACATACAACATGGTCATTAGCAAACTAATAAATCTTACTTGGAATGATAAGGCAAAAATAGTAAAACCACACTTATCCTATAAGGAGTTATAGATTATCTTCTGGTAGGGAGAGCTATCATTCAAGAAAAGTAAAGAAGATGTGATCACTCTGTTCTACATCTAGAGGAGAAAATCAAATTTTAGAACAATCTAGTCATCATCTTCTTTTTCTTCTCCATCATCCTCAGCATCTCGTTTTCTCTCCTCTCCATGAAGGCCTTCTTCCCATCATCTTTATCCTGAATTTCTTCTTTCATTAAGTATGAAAGGTCCACTTCCTCTTTTCCCTCTCCCAATTCTGAATCTACTTCATCCTCTTCTTCCTCCTCATATCCTTCAAGTTTCATCTTCATCCTCATCACCTTCTTTTCCTGAGTCTGGTGCTTCATTAGCCTCCTGATCAAATCCATCTAAGTATGTGATTTGCTGCAGCATCTCAAAAATACTTTCTCTGTAATCTTCCAGGTTTGTGGTCTCACATTAAACAAGTCAAGACTTTTCAAATTTTTAAGATTTTGCAGAACTTCCACGGCACTGAGATCTTCGATTTTGTTTCCACTCAGACTGAAGTAGGTAAGGTTTGGACATTTCTCTGCCTGAACTTCTAAACTTCCAGAAATTATAGTTACCAAGTTCCAACTTTCTAAGTTTATTCAAGCTGGGAAGACATGCCAACAAACTTAATTTCACATTAGTCATACTCAGAAACTCTAGTTTAAGTATCATTCAGGCCTTCAATTTCCACACTGACACACAGGCAATTATCAAGGACTAACTCTGTTACCTCCTCCAGGGCTCTGTTCCTTAACTCCAGGCTAATCTTCCTCTTCATCTCCATGTCCTCCTGCTCTTCTGTTACTATTCTTTTCCTTTATCCCTTTCCCACTACAATCCTAATTTTTTTTTAATTGTGAAAATACTGTACAGAGGGGTTACAATTACATGGGCAAGATAGTGAGTACATTTCTTATCAAGCATTGTAGCCTCCTCCTTTGTTTACCCTTCCCATCCCTTCCCAGCCTCCTCCCACCCCCCCATACAATCCTAATTTTTTTTAAAAAAAGATTTGGAAATGAATGAAAAGCAGATATAAACGCCCACAACCACCAAATAAATGTAGAGAAGAAAGAACAGCAAATGGGAATCCAAGGAGTTAGGACTCTTAACTTGACTGCTCCCACTTCCTTGTCCACGCATGCAAGCATGCATGCATGTACACATGCACGCCCACAGTTCCTTCAATGGCTTCAATGGCTGCTTGGAGACTGAGCCTCCATGACCACGACAAGGTTTAGAAATAACATATGAGGAAGAAAAAAAAATAACATATTAGTGGCTGGGGATGTAGCTCAGTGGTAGAGTACTTGCCTAGCACACAAAATACCCTCTGTTCGAGTTTGACCACAAATGAGAGGAAAGAAAGGTCATATAAATCCAAATCATACCTTGTTTTCTTCACCTGAATGCTGCTACTGAGTTTTTCCAGCACATATTCACCAGTGTCATGATTAATAATAAGCACACAGTCTTTCTGGTAAGGCCGTTTGTTCCCCTTGAATACAGTCATTGGTGGTGTAGAACCCTGTTGCCGCAAAATACAATATTATCTAACTAAACCAGTTATAAACACCAAAATGTATACATGACCCTACTTCATCAAATCTTTCATCAGAGTTACTCAAGAACAGAAAGAAAGCTGGGTGCCAATGGCTCACACTTGTAATCCTATTCAGGAAGCTGAGTTCTGAGGTTCACAGTTCAAAACCAGCCTAGGCAGGAAAAGTCGGTGAGACTTATCTTCAATTAACCACCAGAAAACCGGAAGTGGTGCTGTGGCTCATGTGGCACAGTGCCTGCCTTGAGCTGAAGAGCTGAGGGGCAGTACCCAGGCCCAGAGTTTAAGCCCCACGACAAAAAAAAAAAAAAAAAGTAGAAAGAACTGATTTCTATTTTAACTCCTACTGGTTGCCCAGACAAAATACTACAGCAAGAACCTTTGTAAATATGCAACTGGTTCTAGGTAAACAAGAAATGTATAATGAGGGACCAGGCACAATGGTTCACAACTATAATCCCAGCAGTTGGGAAGTGGAAATCAGGAGAACTGAGTTTCAAAGACCAGACTAGGCAAAAAATTCATGAGATCTTTATCTCAACAATTAAGCTGGTCTGATGGTGCACTCATAAGCGCAGCTACACAGGAGGTATGGGTAGGAGAATCATAGTCTGAGTCCAGAAAAGGAAGAAAACTATGATATCCTATCAAAAAATAAAGCAAAAAGAGATGGGGATGCGGCTCAAGTAGTAGAATGTCTAGCAAGTATAAGGCTGAGTTCAAACTCTACTACTTCCAAAGAGGGGGAAAAGTGGGAGGGAAGGAAGGAAAGAAAAAAAAAACAGTACAAAAAAAATTAAAATTATACATGTTTCTAAGGGACTGGGGAAATATTACAGCAAACATCCAACAGAGTATCCTCCAAGGGCATGTCACTAGCCTGATTTGCTCAGAGCAAATATAATTTGCACCCACTGTGCTCAGGCCATAGAATAATATCTTTCAGTCAGCCATCTGGGCTCTGTGGGCTCCTCAGGAGAAGGTTCTCTAAGATCCTCAAGTTCTTTCCTGCCTTAGGGCTTTAACAAGACTCCAGCCTGCTACATCTGTACCCTACTTCTCAATTTGTCAACCTTCAGCTAAGCTCAAAGGTTACTGAAGGAGGCCTTCCCTGATTTTCTAGAATAACTGACATATTTCCTTATATTTATTCAAGCTTGTTACTTATGTGATATGTGCAATAAAGACAAGAAATAAGCTTTATTCAGGGTTGTATTAGTGCTTACTAACCGATCCAATACACAGTATTTAACAAATACAGGATTTAATGTCTTGCTTAGAAGCAAAATCAGCTTAGCTCTTTGACTCTGTCTTTATATTTCTACTGTAGTAGAAATTTAGAGTGGGAAGGCCCTTAGGGACCATTTACCTAACACTTTCATTTTTACATTTGGGAAAACAGGTCCAAAGGGAGATGATGTAACCTGCCACAGACAACAAGTAATGAAATAGCAGTTTGAATGGACAAATAAGTCATCTTTCTTCAACCTGGAAGTTTTCAGGTCTCTCCAGAGACTTTCTGTTGTATCACCAGATACCAACAACTTACTATGTTCCAGGAAAGAGGTGAGAGATGTACTGATTTGGTTCACTAAGAGCATTTTGTGAGTTCCTTTGGGCTTTGTGATCAGAGTGCTATCCCAGACAGAATTTTGTAGAAGTCCTTCCTACTAAAAGAGTTCAATAACACTTGTAACTGAATTTTTTATTCCTGAATTACCAAACCAGAGTTCCTGTCTGGGTCTAGTAGCACACACTTAACCCTTCACTGATATGCTCAAAAGCTGTTATGACTACACAGCAGCAGGGCAGCTGGCACCTTTCCTTTTGGACTTGGGCAAAGAGTTATGCATGTCTAACAGAGGACCTGAGTGTTCAGGCAGAATCTTGCTGACTCTATAGTACACAGTGGGGAAAGGGAGCTTGGGGAAGATGACAATCACTTCAAATCAGATGTTGGAATAACAAAAATTTCAAAATTCCTTTTCTACTTATGTTGGCACTCGAATAATCTAAAAATTTCTAAAGAGTAGAAAATACAATTTACAATAACAATACAATGATGCACTGTGATCTGACATTAAAACCAGTAACAATGAAATAAACTTACAGGGATATGTGGCAGGGTGATTGTGACTTCATCTCCTTTGCCAACCTGAAGCTCTCCTTCACAAGAAGTGTCTATAGATGCTGGCTTAAAATCATCTAAAGGAAAAGGAAGAGTATTTCTCATCACCAGGTGAATTAGATTAAGGACTTCCTGGGCATTTTCTCTCAGGAATTAAAGTTCTATCACAAAAAAAATGATGTAGCATTCTTAATTTATCATGGCAAATTTGACATATGCAAAAACAGAGAGAATGAGCTCAAGAACTTTAGTCTAACTTTAATAATTGACAAATAAGGAACACTTCCACATACTTTTCCTTCAACCCTCTCTAGACTATTTTGATGGAAATTCTTTCTCCCAATGGACACTTGGAAACTAATACCCCATCATCTACAATAAAATGTTTATCAGAGTTGTAAGGATAAGAGCAATAAAACATATGAAGAAGATTCTTGACTGTAAAAGCTTGCATGAAATATGACAGACACAGCATCCTATATGTTTTTATTTTGCACATAAGAGGAAATTGCTGCACTCAAGTTCCATAGCTATGGAGGAAAAAAAAAACTTCTGAAGACATACTTTTTATATTAAGATACACTCGTCTCAAACTGCAGGCCACCTGCACATGTGAACTGAACTCTCACTTAAATTCCCCACTGCCAAGCTGGGTGCTGGTGGCTCATGCCTGTAATCCTAGCTACTACTCAGGAGGCTGAAATATGAGGATCAAGATTCAAAGCCAGCCCAGGCAGAAAAGTCCCCGGGGAGACTCTTATCTCCAATTAATCATGCAAAAACAGAAGAGGAGCTGTGGCTCGAAGTAGTAGAGCATTAGCCTTGAGCAAAAGAGTTCAGGGATAGGGGGAGTTCAAGCCTCACAACCGATAAACAAAATTACCCACTGCTCTTATCATAAGCTAAGGAAATGACTGAGCAACCATCTCTCATATTCCCAATGTGTTCTCTTTGAAAAAGCTGGATCTGCTGTCAGCAAGAAGCAGTTATGGTCTGCCAAGTGACCACACAAAGATGAAACTTCATTATCTTACACACCCTCTTCCTAAGTGTTGAGTCACATCTATTTGCCTCCCTGACAAAAACAAGTATTAACACCACAGGAAACCAGAAGCTTGTGAATCATAGAGGGATGCTCAGTCAGCCAAAATACCCAGGACAAAGTGGCAGTGCCTCTCTCCAGAGAGTCTATAATCATGTGGAAAAGGACCCCGCATAATGACCATTTTCCAACACTACTTATGTCTGCTCTCTCCTGTTTCCAAACATAGATGAAGCCTTAACCTACGCCAGGCTCAAAGACTCTCATTCTTCATCCACAAGGGACTTGGCCTAGAATCAGGGTGCTATAGGTGACCTAACATCAGTGTCAAATAAGACAAGGGAGGAGAGGAGTGATGGATCGCAGAAAAGATGTGGGGGGTCCTTATTCGAGCGGCAAAGTAGTGTCAGGATGGAAGAATCGAGGCCGCAGGGATCAGAAAACGGAGGAAAGAAAGGAACGGAATCGGACGTGTATAAGGCTCAGATCACACGAAGAGTGTTAGAAATGGAGCGCTCTGAGGGGATAGCTAGACAGTGGGGGAGCTGGGTAGGAATGCCGACTGGGAAGAAAGATCTGGAGCTCAAAAGGAGGGCAGTGTGTCTGGATGACTGGGAGCAGGGCATGGCACACGAAAAGGAGCAATGTTAGGTAAAAAGAATCGCTGGGAAGGACCGACGATTGTTTTGGGGAGCCGACTGGAAAAAACCAGATCAGATCCGAGTCTCTGAGAATCCAGAGTGACAGAAGGAACTGACGTCGGCAGGGGGCTCCCCGGCCTCGGGAGGGCGGAGGGAAACCCCGGGGGCGCGCCGATGGGGGGCGCGGCGGGGGGGGGGTCCCGACTCACAGCGGATGGTGTGGAAGGAGGCGCGCGGCCGCTTCTCGAAGCTCTCCCCGAGCCGCAGGCAGTGTTCCTCGCGGTCCAGCAGCGGGTTCGCCGTCCCGTTCATGGCCCCGCACGAGCCCCGCGCCCGCACCGGCGCTCTCCGGGCGCCGCCGCCGCCGCAGCCCGAGCTCCCGGCGCCCGCGGCGGGAAGGACGGAGCTGCCGGGACCCCGTTCCGGAGCACGCGGACAACTCAGCCCGCGCCCACCCGGGTCCGGACACAAGTCTTCTCCGCGTCGGGGCGGGGGAATACTTCGAGGAAGCAAGGCCACCGTACTTCCGGCGCAGGGGAGGGACTTCCGGGTTCCCAGCGGAAGCGGCAGGGGCGGCGCCATGGTAAGGGAAATCCGCCCCGAGAGTTCGCGAGGCGGATGGTTGGTGGTCTTCACCTCAAGTGTCACCACCGAGTCCGGAGCTGGGCCGAGGGTAAGTGCGCCCTCCCTACGTCGCTGGTCGCTGGCTAACCCGGGAGCCGATGTTGGCGAGGCCCGGGCGTGCTGGCGGCCTGGACTGACGCGTCCGCGGTGGCTACTGCCGGCGTCGCGCGGAGACCCTGCGGATCTGGCCTCGATTTCCCTCGCGAGTCCTGAGGAAAAAGGACCCTGGGGGACCCAAGTCACAGGTCACCGGGTCACTTCCCCTTCTGACTCGGTCCTCGGATGGTGACGCTTCCCTCGGGTCCGAGCGACAGCCTTTGAGTGCGATTAGAAACTCGGGCGGCTCCGTGTAGCTTCGTCTCCGGCGGGAGGCGACTAGAGAACTCCAAGCCCAAAGCCAGCATCCCGCTTCCCTCACTCAGTCCCGCAGCTGCCCGAGTTTACCCTGTTCACGGTTACCGACACTGAAGTTTTTTCTTCCCAAGGTTTTTCAGTAAATTCATGGAGAGTATACTTTTTTTGTAAACCTAACCGATTTCTTGCAAGAGTTGACTCCTCCTTGGTTCGGTGACTGAGGCATTTCTGACAACGGGTAGGGACAACATCTTGGTCTTTGTGACCTCTCCTAGAGAGCTGGGGTTTTGTGTAAAGTCATCTGCTAAATGTTTGGTGACTTGAATCCAGTGTCTCCAAGAAACCTCTAACCCAACGTCTTGAACTATTTTACAACCACAAATACCAATGTTCTAAAAAAAAAAAAACTGTTCTAAAACTACTAACCAGAGTTTCTTATTTCCTGTGAAGGACCCTGTGCTGTTGAGACCTGAAAACCACTAGAAGAAAGCACATCAGAGCCCAGTGCCTCAGATCTGAGGATCACAGTTTGAAGCCAGCCCAGGCAAGAAAATCCACGACACTCATCTCCAATTAACAGCAAAGAGCCAAAAGTGGAGGTGTTAGGCTAAAGTTAAGTGAGTGCATAAGGCCCTGAGTTCAACCCCCAGCACCATCAAGAGAAAACACACACACACACACACACATTGGAGAAAAGCCTGTGTCTGCAGCATCAGCATGGATTCCCCAAATTATTCTCAGCCGGAGGATTTGTAGCAGTGGTAGGTGTATATTACCTTCAACTAGTGAGATGGCTTCTGTGCAGAAGAAAAAACTGCAAACAAGGATCCTCAGCTTTGAAGAAGAGGAGAAATTGAAAAGAGACCAAGTTCTGGTATCTGATTTTAAACAGAAAAAACTGGAAAAAGAAGCTCAGAAGAACTGGGACCTTTTTTACAAAAGAAATAGTACCAATTTTTTCAAAGATAGACACTGGACTACCAGAGAGTTTGAGGAGCTAAGATCGTGTAGGGAGGTGAGCTAGTATTTCTCCTTATTCTGAACTGTTTTAGAAGGTGATGAGGACTACTTTATTGCTTTCCTAGAGGAAATATGAAGTAGAAAGAATTTATAAATATATAGGTAAGAGAAGTAGTTTTCTATTTAAACCTAATCTGAAAGTTGCAAACATGAAATACTCAAACTGAGTTAATGTTAGTGACAAACTGAAAACAATAGTACTAGTTAATGAAGTATTTACCGTGCTATTTTATTTTGTTTTAATGGTGCTGGGTTTGAACTAAGGGCACTCTCCCAGCCCGTCTTTACTATAGTTATTTTAAGAATAAAGTCTTGTGTTTTCGCCCAAGGTAGTCTCCAATTTGAATCCTCCTGTCTGTGTATGTCAGGCACATTCTTGACTGCAGGCACATGCCAGCATGCCCCCCTTTTTAGCTGAGATTGGGTCTCATTAACTTTTTGCTCCAATTGGCCTCCTTCCAGAGTAGCTAATGTTACAAGCATGAGCTGTTGAGCCCCACCATAGCCCTCTTACAAGGGCCATGTTCTCCCACACTGATATTTGCAAGTAAAACTGAGTCACACTGATGTTTAAGGACAGAATACAGGGACAGAGAGGAGTTGGGATTTGAGTATAGGAAATTATTCCCCAGTCTGTTCCATTCATTCAGGCTAGTACATTCAAGGTTTTTAATGGTTTTTTTTTTTTTTTTTTGCCACATCAAACTGTCCAAGGTTGGATGAGGATGAGGTACCAGGGTTAGTTTTTGATGAATAGTTCTCTTTATTGTTTGCTCCATAAAGGTCATACTGTCTTCTACATTCTGGACCTTGTCGTTCATTTCTTCACTAGGCAAATTAGATATACTGTGACTTATGACTTCTCTTTCCCCAGTATGAAGGTCAGAAATTGACTATACTTGAAGCTGGTTGTGGTGTTGGAAACTGTTTGTACCCACTTTTAGAAGAAGACTTAAATATCTTTGCCTATGCCTGTGATTTCTCTCCAAGAGCAGTTGAATATGTTAAGGTTGGTGTGCCACACATTGTGCTATGTTTCTATTTTCTTAGATCTGTTTGACCTGTTTGCCTAATTGCAGTCCTCTCCCTGGAGCTATGATCACTGTGCATGTAGTTTTCCTTTTATAGGCATATTCAGTGTGTATAGAAACAGCTTGATCAGAACACATAACATGCCTAACACCTTCTTTATAGTCTTTTTTTCTTTGTTAAACTATTTTAAAGTAAGTTACAAACACCAAGATTCCTAGTATGTCTTTTTTTTACACAATGACAGCTCAAAACAATAAATGTAATCCTCTAATATCATTCCAGATTCAAATTTCCCCAAATAGTTCTCCCCCATAATTTTGTAGCTACTTTCAATCCAGTCAAGGATTACTTAACACTATTAAGTCATTTAAATCTAGTGATCTTAAAATACTCTTGCCCAGCCCCTTACCTTTTTCCCACTGAGGTTGATGTTTTGTAGAGATCAAGTCAATATACTGTCATAGGTCCTACATTCCAAATTGCCTAATATGTCTCTCTAGTCCCTGCACCGCCTATAAATTAAAAATTAGATTTAATCAGGTAAAGTGTTTTGGTAGGTGATATTGTGTCTTGAATATTATATTCTGTCAGAAGGAAACAATGTCTGGTGATCCTACTATAAGTGTTACTAGTTTTATTTACTCATTTAAGGTGGTAACTGCCTTAATTCTCCCATTCTGAAAGCATTTTACCATTGACAGATATGGTAGACTTTTTGGCAAGATGCCAAAGTGTCTTACCAATCAGAGTTTTAGGATTCACTAAACTTATATATATGTTAAATATATATATTAAACTTAAATATATGTGTGTGTATATACACACATGTATAATTATGTAATTTCATATCTAGTATAACCTGAATTTATTCACTCTACATTATATACAGTTAGTGCAAGTAGATTACTACATCATACTTGAGCATTCACATATAAATTTCAGTAGATAATGTCAAATTGCCTTCCAAAAAGGCCATGCCTACTTATAATTTCACCAATAGTAAAAGACACCTTTTATCTATTTCCCTCAATATTTCATACTAGCTTTTTTCTCATTTTTCCCAATTGTGGTCACAAAATAATGTCTCCATATTCACTTTGTTTTTTCCCCTATTGTCAGAGATACTGAAGACTTTGTATGTAAATAAGTATTACTCCTTCCTCTGCCGTGAGTTCCTATATACTACATGTATTTATTGTCTATTTGCCAGTTACTGCTCTAAGCAGTAGGGGGTTGGGCAGTAAGCAAGAGAAAAATTGATGTGCAGCTCATATTACAGTAGATGAAAAATTGTTCATAACTCTTGCCCATTTTTCCATTTGTTGCTTCCTTATTTTTACACTATATGTAAAATTGTGTGTGTGTGTGTGTGTGTGAAGGTGAAACATTTCTTCTAGTTTATCAGCATTGTTGAATGGTGGCACTTTGCCTACAGAATTTAAATTGTGTCAAAAAAGTGTTTTTGTGCTTTAGTCAGAAACCCACATTCCACCTGCCTCACCCTCTTTGAGTACTAGATTAATCTGGGAAAAAAATTGGTCATTATTGCTTCAGATAATTTCTTTAGCCTTGGCTCTGATTTTTCCCTCTGGATTCCAATGACATGTGACTTCTCTCATTTGTTAGGGCTCCACACTCTTGTTTAAATAGATTCCCCCTTTTTCCTCTGTGCATAGTTGTTTGTAATTTCTATTGCCCTATCATCAAGTTCACAGATTCTTTCCTAGGCCTTGGCTTTCCTACTGATCTACATAGCAGAAGCATTATTCATTTCCATTGCCATGTTTTTGGCTTCCTTCATTTGAATTTGAGTCTTTTTATAATTTCTATCCCTAAAATTACCTACCTGATCCTACTTGTTGTCTGTCTATTCCACTAGAGCCTTTAACATTTTAATCATAGTTATTTTAAATATCCCAACTTCGAGTTCCATCATCCACACTGTATTAGTGTCTGACTCTGATGAATTCTTTCTTCAGACTGCTTTTTTTTTTCTTGCCTTTTGATGTGCCTTGTACTTACTTGTTGAAGCTGGATAGATTATTAGGTCAGCATGTACTGAGGTAATAGGGACTTGTAATAATCTAAGTAGGAGTTGGCTTGTATTTGCAGTTGTTGACATAGTTACTTGTTAAGTTTGTTACTATGGGCATCAGAGACTTAAAACTCCCTGGTTACTATTTTTGTCTGTTTTTGGCTTTGGGTCTTCCCTTTGTGCTCTTCCCCAAATAGAACGTGTCTTGCTGTTTTCCTAATTGTTATTCTGTTATTACTGGGGCTTTTAAGGGATGTGTGAAATAGTGTTAAGTCTTTTGTTCCTCTCTGGTTTTGAACTGTGCAGTAGGCCTGTGTGTCGGTTCTCTGAGAATCCGGCTTTCCTTGCCCATCAATCTCCCAGCTAGCCGTGTCTACTAGTGTCCCCCTCTGTGATCCTGAAATCATTTTCCCAGGATTACCTGTGTTTGAACAGAGTATGTCCTGTTCCCTACCTACCTTATTTTTTTACCAGTGCCCTGAGGCTTCAGCCAGATGACTTTTCCCCTGTAGATTCAGTCTTTTTCTTCCTTAAAGGATAGGAGAAAAGCCAGCACCAGAAAGAACACCATCTTCTCTGTGATAGCCTGGTGGTATTCCTGTGAAACACCTTTAGATGTCTGAGGGAGATCCTGTGATTTCCTGCTCTTAACACCCATCCTTGATCAGCAGCAATTTGCCAGACTTTATCTTTCAGTCTGGAGGCCTCTGTCTTGGGTAAGCAAGGATTTGGGATGGTAGATTCTGTTAGCTCTGTTCTTTGATGGGTCTATACAGACACACAAAAAGTCATTATTTTTCTGTCTTTCCATGTACTTTTTTTTTTTTTTTTGTCAGTTGTGGGGCCTGAACTCTGGGCCTGGGCACTGTCCCTCAGCTCGTCAGCTCAAGGCTAGCGCTCTACCGCTTAAGCCATAACACCACTTCCAGCTTTTTCTGCTTATGTGGTGCTGAGGAATTGAACCCAGGGCCTCATGCATGCAAGGCAAGCACTCTACCACTGAGCCAACTTCCCAGCCTGTCCATGTACTTTCTTGCTGTGGATATAGGAATTATGTTTTTCACTGCTGTTTATCTCTGAGCTAAAACTGGCAGTCCTCTAATGTACCTGGTAGCCGGTTGCCAGAACATAATACTACTGAATTATTACCATTATTGTTTACTTTTTAATCTGAATCTTGTGTTCTTTTTGCACTATCTCAAAACACGTTGTTTTATCACTACCTTCTATAGTATGCTTTGATGATTGGTAGTCGTATCTCCTTCCCTGTTCTTCATTTACATTTTCTTTTAATGTATAACTTACACTTTCAGATAAGTTAGGTCTTACCTTATCAAGTTTCTGTACTATAAATCTATTAGGGCTCAGTTGAGATTGCTTTGGATTTATACATGTAATTATGAATTGACATCTTTTAAATACAGAATTTTCCCATCTGATAATTTTGTGTCCATAACATTTATGAGCATGTATTGAAGTCCAGAAAAATGTATCAGGAACACATCTTTTAAAAGAAAAATAAAAAACGATTAGGCTTATTCTCTGAATTACTGGAAAATATACCTCAGAAGAACTATGGGAGCATCTGAGTAAAGGGACTAGGACTTCTTAGGGGTTTAGGCCAGGATTATATTACTCTGGAAAAACATGCTTCAGAGATACTCAGTTAGGATCACGGTTGAAAGCCAGCTTGGGCAGGAAAGTCCAAGAGACTATCTCCAATAAACCACTCAAAAGACTGGAAGTGGTGCTGTGGCCCAAGGCAGTAGAGTGCTAACCTTAAACTGAAGAGCTGAGGGACAGTGCCCAGATCCAACAAAAACAACAAAAAAGATATATATGATATATATATGCTCATTTAGGGATCCATGATTGACTATGATCTCTCTCAGTTAAAAATGATTTGCTCAAATACCTTGTTCCTTGTGGTAGAATTAACTGTTGAATGCTTTGGATATGAATGATTTATCTCTCAGTTTTTCCCAGTAACAAATAACCATCCATTTCTGTGCAGGACACAGTAGAAATAAGATCATCTTTTAATGCTATGTGTTGCTGGAAGCATCAGCTTGATGGTTGCAGTAAAATTCCTTTTTGTTTTCTCTGTAGCAAAATCCGTTGTATAACACAGAGAGATGCAAGGTTTTCCAGTGTGATCTCACTAAAGACGATCTTCTGGAGCATTTGCCACCTGGATCTATAGATGTTGTCATGTTGATATTTGTGCTCTCAGCCATTCACCCTGAGAAGATGCACCTTGTTTTACAAAACATTTATAAGGTTAGTGATTGGTCCCCAAGCTTACCTTCCTTCTGAGGCTCATATACAAAAAGAGCCACATAGTCTCCCCAGTTTGCCCTGCTGTAGCATAAAACATCACCTTAACTTTGCATTTGTGCAGTGCCATGACTGCCCTTCAGAGCTAGACCAGCCCTGGGACAAGTATGTTTAGACAATTGCCTGGGGTCCATGGAATCATCAGTACCTAGATTCAAGACCTGGCCACACTGACTGGGAAGTGGCTCAGTGGGTAGAGTGCTTGCCTCACATGCATGAGGCCCTGGGTATGATTCCTCAGCACCACATAAGCAGAAAAAAACTGGAAGTGGCGCTGTGGCTCAAGTGGTAGAGCACTAGCCTTGAGCTGAAGAGCTGAGGGACAGTGCCCAGGCCCAGAGTTCAGTCAGGTCCATGACCAACCAAAAAAAAAAAAGTTCATTTTCTCTGAGCCTCAGTTACTTTACCTATAAAATGTTGAAGTGATGATTCTGAGATCAGAGGAGTGAAGGGAAACAAAGTAGGTGCGTACACTGCTTAGCATAATACCTATACCATGGTAATTGCTCTTTAAGAGTCAGCTATTAGCCAGGTGTTAGTGGCTCACACCTGTTATCCTTGTTACTCAGGAGGCTTAGATCTGAAAATTGAAGTTAGAGCCAGCTCTAGCAAACAGGTCCTCAAGACTCTTACCAACTGAAAGCTGGAAGTGCAGATGTGGCTCAATTAGTGAGCACCAGTCTTGAGCAGAAAAAGTCAAGGAAGAGCATGAGGACCACAGTTCGAGCCTCGGTACTAGCACATTTGCAGCCACACATACACACTTTTTAAAAAGCCATTACTATTGTTATTAGAGAGTGGAAGAGGATCCAGTGAAATGTCTGGCAAGCTGTCATATACTCAGCTGTACCAGTTCCTTGCATGGTGGGCAAGCTATACATGATTTCAGTGGTACAGTCAGAGCAAAATGAGACCCAGAATAAGGATGAGCAGTTCAAGGAAGTAGAACACCAAGATGACATTTTCTTAGAGAGCATTCATATTATGGGTATTCCATTATGCCCCCTTTTGTAATTCCCACTCAGCTAAATGATTGTAATTCCTAACTTAATTGGGTTGTCTGTGGCTTGACTCGAGTTCCGCAGAGTACCATGCAGCCTGCTTTTGTTTCACAGGTACTGAAACCAGGCAAAAGTGTCTTGTTCCGAGACTACGGGCTATATGATCATGCCATGCTTAGGTTTAAAGCTGGCAGCAAACTAGGAGAAAACTTTTATGTTCGACAAGATGGAACCAGATCTTATTTTTTTACTGATGGTAAGATGAATGGACTCTCTCCTTGAAATGCTTTGTTCTTTGGTTATGTTTACTTGATTAAGTTAGCACTGCAGGGTAGGGGCACTCACACACTGTAGGTGGCAGTGCTGAGATTGAGCCCTGGGGATAATAGACGGGCTCAGATAGGCTACATGTTGCCCTCAATTTTTGTGCTGGAAAAAGAAGGAAGGATGTCAGGAATTCTCTCTGCTCACTCAGAAATAAAGCAGAGATGAACAGTACCTGGCATTACTTCCCTAGGTCCCAAAGATGTGAACCATCTTCAATAAAAGTGATTGTATAAGTTTTCAGATATACACATCTGCTATAAAGGGACAGTTAAAGTCATTTTGGGTAAGAAAATGCTGGTCCTATTTCAATCAGGTGGTTTTTTAAATTTTTTTATTACTTTGTTGTATTGTGGGATTACCTTTACATACGTCAGGTAATAAGTATATTTCTTTCCTTTAGCATAGTATCATCTGTTCCCTCATCTCTCCTATTCCTTTCCTCCCATCTCTGCATAGTTCACTTTCATCAGTGAGCCAGTGAGCTCCTTTTTCACCTATTTTCCACTGCTTCTGTGCCCTCCCTCCACTTTTCCTCAGATGTGCACATAAATACACCACATATGAAGTAAAGAATACAAAGCCATCAGAAAATGAAAAAGCAGCTTAAGAAAAAAAGTCCTTTGTTCCACATCTTTGGAGTTCATTTCAGTATGTATATTTTATATACATATGAAGAGGTGCTTGAGTATAACAGCTTGGGGTTTTTTCCTAAGACTCATCTTTTGGTCTCACTGTCTAAAATCATGTGTAATTTGCCATGTCCCATTGTGTTTTAAATTTAACTTCCACATATTAGGGAGAACATGTGCCATTTGTCTCTGATCTTGGCTTACCTTACATAATTTATTCTAGTTTCATCCATTGCCTCTGCGAATGCCATTATTTTATCCTTCCTAATGGCTGTGTAAAATTCCATTGTATATAGGTACCACATTTTTTGGATCCATTCATCTATTGTGGGGCATCTGAGTTGTTTCCATGCCTTGGCTATTGTCAATAGTGTGGCAATTTATATGGACATGTAGGTGTCTTTGTCATATCCTGATTCATTGTGCTCAGGGTAGATTCCTAGGAGTGGTTTGGCTGGGTCATAGAAAGGTTTATGTTTAGTTTTTTGAGGAACCTCCAGACAGCTTTCTCCACAATGGTTGTATTAGTTTACATTCCCACCAGCGGTGCAGTAGGGTTCCATTTTTTCCACATCCCTCCAGCATTAGTTGGTGTCGGAATTCAAAATATTGGCCAATCTAACTGGGTTAAGATGGTATCTCAGGTTGTTTTTAATTTGCATTTCCTTTATGGTCAGTGATGATGAACATTTTCTCATGCATTTCTTAGTCATTCTTCCCTCTTCTTCTGGAAAGTCTCTCCTTAGCTCCCTTGCCCATTTAGTGGTTGGTTTATTAGATTTGGTAGGGGTTCATTTCTTGAGCTCTCTGCATATATTGGATATTAGGCATTTGTCTGATGTATTGCTGGGAAAGATCTTTCTAGTCTTTCTAGTTCAATAGTTATGTCCTTAGCTGTACAGAAACTTTAGTTTTAATGTAGTCCCACTTGTTGAGTCTCTTACCTGTTGTGCCCCTGGGACTCTATCCAGGAAGTTCCTGCCGGTAAGTTCAAATGTCTCTCCTACTCTCTTGCAGTAGTTTTGAGTTTCAGGACTGATGTTGAGATCTTTAATCCACTTTGGGTTACGTTAGTGCATGGAGACAAGCATAGATCCGTTTTCAGTTTTCTGCATGTGGCTGCCCAATTTTCCCAACACCAATAGTTAAAGAGGCTATGTTTTTTTCCACTGTATGTCTTTGGCTCCTTTGTCTAATATCAAATGACTAAGTATGTGGTTTTATTTCTGGGTCTTCTAATCTGTTCCATTGACCTTCGGGTCTTTTTTTGTGCCAATATCAAGCTGTTTTTGTTATTATGGTTCTGTAGTAGAGTTTGAAATCTGGTATTGTGATACTGCCTGCATTGTTTCTTTTGCCTAGAATTGCTTTGGCTATTCTAGGTCTTTTGTTGTTCCATATGAATTTTTAGATTGTTTTCTTTATCAGTAAAGAACATCATTGGGATTTTGATGAGGATTGCATTGAATATGTGTATCATTTTTGGCAGTATGGCCATTTTCACAATACTGATTTTACCTATCCATGAATATGGAAGGTCTTTCCATTTCCTGGTGCCCTCTTTGATATCTGTCTTAAAATTTTTTTTTTTTTGGGGGGGGG